TGTTCGACATAAAAGCCTTAACCTAGATTATATTTTTTAATTTATATGAATGTTTATTGGAATAATATACAGCCTATGTCCACCCTGAGGTTCCATTCTAAATATTGGTGAAAGAATTTGTGAAATCGGATGAGTAGTTTCGGAGATTACCTGCTGCAAATAAACATACATACATACATACATACATACATACATACATTACCTCTTTATAATATTAGTATAGATCATTTTTACACAAGTTTAAACTTTTTTAATGTAAAGAAAAATGCATGCTACATGCATGATAGGGAAATATCTTTTAACACTGATAAAAATTTAAAGTAAAATTAAGAAAATCTAAATCCTATTTCTTATTTTTTTGTTTCTAGAAAATAATTGGCAAAATTGGCTTATGTAATTGTATTAATATTTTACTGTTATCTATCAGGAAATAGTAGTTTAATTCATAAAATAGTCCAATACATTTACAGAATGTCATAGAATTAAGTATAATGCAAAAATTTGTATAAGACACTGGAAATACAAGTTTGTAGAAGACACTGCAAAAATCTGAAAATTTTTGCAGTGTGTTCTACAAATTTGTATTTCCTAATTTACTTTCATACGGACAATAGTCGCCATCAATTAATACTATAAAATTGTGGAATAATGACAGCAGAGAATGACCACCTTTTAGAATATCCAGCTATATTTGAATGTCTTATTAAAAGTAAAGCTGAAGATTACCAAGAAATGCTTAATTATATGAGTCTTGACTCTTATAATTATTTTTCAAAAGTGGTAAAGTAGGTGAAAGTTTAATTAATAAATTGTCATAAAACATGTCCTTAAGACAAATGTACAGCCATCACAAACCCTATCTGCAAGTAAATCATTCTGTATGGACTTTTGTGTCTAATGATGACAGTTATTTATGTACCAGTACATGCCATGGTTGGTTACCCATTCTCCTACATTTATTTCCATATGATGAAAATTTAAGTGGAAAGCTTAAAGACATGGAGTCTTGATGCATCATGTTTTTGTGTACATTGCATACCGCCTCAAACTGCTTATAAATAACTGGTTATTATGGCAGCCAACCATTATATAATATCTACCTGAACTAGTAACTATTGTAACTAATAAAGCATGTCACTAATAAAAACTGAAAATTGCAGACCTACACTAACAACTAGCAGTATCTTAATGGCTGCCAAGATGTCCCCATAAGGGCATGTCTTGGCAGCCATTCAAAAACATTTTCTGGAAACTTGTGAATGACCTTTTAAATAAGCCAATGCTAAAGCATTGGCTTATGAAAATCTGTTAAATGTAATGTTTAAAAGATTTTTTACAAGATTATAACTTAAATGATTTGTGAACGAGAGACAGTATCTGGAAACTTAAAAGAAATTTTTCTGTAGCTTGCAATATGAATTGTATATGAATCTGTCACAGAACAATAAATTCACAATAGTAGTAATATTATCTAGTGATGAAAATAGGAGCAACAACTGAACACTAATATAGTACTAATATGCCACAAAACAATGAATTTACCTTCTAGAATTTCAACAAGAGGTTTAGATTGTCATAAAAAATTATTGACAAGCATTTAATCTTTGGTGTAAGAGATGGGATATTTATAGGGAAAAAATTTGAGATAAATATTTTTTATAAATGGAAAAGTGAAAAAGAACAGATTTTAGATCGGGTGGGCAACATTTTTCTATGTGAGGGCCGCATTTCAAAACTTCTGAAGTAATGCAGGCCACATACAAGAGAAATGAGGGGGGAAAATGTTGGTAAATCACAATTATTCATATACCTGCAGGTGAGCCCAGCATTGCCCGGGCAAAAAGCAGCAACAAAGATTATTAGATTATTTTGTTCTTCCAATCCTTCTAGTAGCCCGGAATGCCCCCTAGTGAGTGTTCTAGCAGCAGCTGTGTCATTCCGTGAAATTCCTATTACAAATAAAGATAATAATATGCTGAATTTCTCATGGCATACCCTACTAAAATGCAGCTAAAAAAGCAAAAAACTGCATCAAATAATAATATACTGAATTTATTGTTAATTTAAATAATAGCTAGGGGCATCCCTAGTGGCTGTTTTTGGCATACCATGACAGAATCCAGTTTTTCAGCTTTATCTATATGTATAAAAATGAATGAATGTATGTCTGTCCTTCATGCATTACTACACCATTTATTTGATTGCCATGAAACTTTGGGAAGTTTTTTAATACACTCCCACAAAGGTTTCTGGCATAGTACATTTATCCTAAGATAGATGGCGCTCGTGTCTACGAGCATTTCGCTGTGTGCCCGATCGATTTCAAACACAAAGATGTGAAGACCATTTCCCCCTTTCAAAAAATATATCTATATATGCATTTGTGAACTGTTATTTACGATATTTGTAATAATTTTTGTTAAATACTTTATTTCAACTTTTTTTGCTAATTATGTATTCGCTCGAACTTCGTTAAAACCTTAACTGTATCCCGAACAACAACCGAAGTTGTAGGAAGAAATTCGCCTATTTTACCGATCTAGGAATCCCATTTTTCCAAATTTTAATATCGACTGAAAATAATTTAAAAAGACAAATTACAATAAAACGGTTTATTATCCAACTATCAGAAATTTCACAACGTGCCAAGGAAGAGAGGAGGGAGCAATTAAATAGTTAAAATTATAAAGGATTTAAAAATATGTATAAAAATGGAAAATATTGCACTTCTGACAATTGCTGCGAGTGTGTTGGTTAAATTTGGAGAATCCATGCTTCTCGCATGGACAACTGTATGTGGCCAGCTCACGCCTCGGTAAAGCTTCTGATTTATTAGTGTATGCACCAGTCGGAAAAATAAAAAATATCGTTTATCCACAAGCACTCCAATAAATAAATAGAATTGAAACGACACTTTGAAATGTTTTCCCGATGAAAATGAATAATAATAATATTATTATTATTATTATTATTATAAGTTTCAATAAAAATGATAAAATGTAAATTGAATCTTATCATAACGAGTTTGATTGAATTTCGTTTTTTCTGCGATCGCAGCAATGCGTGACGGGTAAGCTAGTTTCCTATGTTTGTAATACATAGTGTTTGTAATAAAACTTATCAGTGTTTAAATCAACATGTAATAAAGCCATCATTAAAACTGTCTAACAATAAAACATACAAATGTAAGTTTTTTGTAATAAATGATAAAATAACGTTATTGATATATGACAAATAATTTACAAGATGTGACTGTATGAAATGTAATAAATAATTTTGTATCTATTAATATATGTACTCAATTTAAATAATTTCATCCATTTACATGTGTATTCAATTTGAATAATGTATTCTATTATGATATCCATGTAATAAAATGTTATTAATATGAATAATGTATTCTATCATGTAACTAAATAAATAAATATTTCCTAACAAAAAAAAACACAATTTTGTTTCTTTATAGACAATACTCAACTGCTAATTGAATGGGGAAATTTTTCATCTTTGCCATTAGAAGAAAAGACTATTCGTCATTTAAGAAATTATATTGTCTGAGATATCATCAGTCAATTAAACGATGTATCTCCTACATTCATTTCTGAATTTTCTGGTAAGTTAAATTGGGAAATTTTGTGAAAAAATTATATATTCTCTACTTCATTTTTTGAAAAACATTTTAAATATGCAAAATGGAATTTCATTTGTGAGTATCAGGTGTTAGACAAATTATTCTTAACCAACTTTTCACAATATCTTGATAGGAATAAAGCTTCAGAATTTCAAATTCTTTCAGATAATTTTATTAGGCGATATATATATTAGTTTTATATTAAGAAAATTTTAAAATACCAACAATTAAAAACTATGACTTTACGCGTATTAAAAGATGATCTAGATTGGAGTTCTGTTTCTCGTTACCAAATATTTGACCAGCAATTTATTGACGACTTTCAAAATCGACTTTCTTGGTGTTACATTTTAAAATATTAATAATTAGACCGAGAATATATTGTCAACAATCTTCAAAATATATTACTCCACTTACTTGCAGAAATGTGTCATGTTTTAGATAAAGTGAATGAAAAAACTGGAAAAGCTTAAATAAAATAAACTTCTTTACATCTATTAATTTATAAATAAAAAAGATTTCAAAAATAATTTCGTTTGGATGTTATATTATTTCAAATTGTCACGTTTTAATTTAGTCAACAAATTTTTATTTTAAACAAATTATTATTACAAATTCGTACGACTTAATTTTATAATGATAAATTTAATAAATAGACAGAATGTATTAAACTTATTGTTAAAATAAAATTAATTTAATTAAGATTTGTGATCAGTTCTGCTCAAACTACTACTACTGCGAACATATATTTTAAGTTAAATAAATGTAAAGCATGATTAAAAATTGCAACCTGGAGTATGACGATATCACAATTTATTAATAATTGCTTGTATATATTCTTTAATTAATAAGTAACAGCAATTTTTAGTCTGTATAAAAATGAATAAGAGGTGTTACGTTGTGTTGCAGACGTGTGGTAGGACTGCTTGAATTCAGTATTTAAACTGGAGTAATAGCTCACAGAGTGTAAATGTGCCAAGTTTACAAACATTTTTATAATACAGAACCACGTGTAAAAATGACATTTAATCAAGTTAAAAATTTTAATAAATTTAATATTTAAAAATTCTGACTGTAGGTAAGGTGTAAAATATTATGCCATTTAATCCAGAATCAAAATTGGTGAAAAGCATTTCGATTGCTCTGTGTAAAGTAAATTGGTACACTAAACGTTTTGAAATATAATTTTTAAGAATTTATTACTGAAATTTAATATACTACACTCGGCGCATTGACTTTAATCGGTCTAAAGGAAGAGGGCCTATGCCATATGACAAGGATAGACGACATTAAGAGTTTACTCATCGATCACAGTGATATAATTTGTAAAAATGTAATTAGCTAAATTATTTATGAGAAATTATGCGTAAAAACCTTTTAATAATGTAAAAAACAAAACAGCTAAAAGAGATCAAAAATACATGTAAACGTTTACAGATCGTATTCCATTCCTTTTATTTAACATAGAGCCTTCCTGCTTAGGCTGATCATGTCCACTCTTACCCTACGCGGATTATCATATTGATAACAACCTGGAATACATGAAACATTGAACTATGAACAACTGGTTTGCAATTTATGGATTTTCTCTTTTCTGAAACAAAATATCTCCGTTTTTCATCGTTTTTCGATAGTCATTCTTATACCGAATTTAGGACAAAGAATGACATCACCGGATTCGAAAATCTTATCTCTATGGTCCAAAGACTTCACTCGAAAATGACGAATAACATTCGCTAAAACTGTTTTCATCTCCATCATGGCGAATCTTTGACCTGAACAAAAGTAAATGGTTACAAACACGTACAGTACAAGCCTTTGTCTCGTGTCACGGTTACTCACCTATGCAATTGCGTGGACCGGCAGAGAACGGCACAAATGCAAAGGGATGACGTTTCTCGCAGTTTTCTGGTAGAAATCGATCCGGATCGAACACTTCGGGATTTTCAAACACCGTTGGATTATGATGAATTCCATAAATGTTTACTGCAAGAGACGAATTTGCTGGCAAGATATAATTACCTGAAAGAAAATTTAATTAAGTGTTTTCAATGCAACTAATGCCATTGTTCCAACATGTAATAACTTGAAAAATGCAATACATACCTACTTTCATATCGGAAGGATTTTTTCTCAATATGAATGGTACCGGAGGATAAATCCTAAGTGTTTCCTGAAATTACTCCGATATTTTAAAATGTTATCGAGTATTTGAAACTTAATTAAATCTCCCTTTCTGGCTTGTATGCCAGAAAAAGGATTTTCGTAGGTAAAAGGCGACATAACATCTCCAACACAATGCTTTTGCTCCCGTTTCGGATAAACGGGAGGTTCAAATCAAACTCAATTTGAATCAATCGGCTGGTTCTTAACTTCGGCCTTCAGTCAATCTTTTGTTTTTTTTTCAAACAGAATTCACAAAGTATAAAAAAGTTTGTTGCTTTTATATACCTTCTGTTAAATTTCAAAATGTTTGTATAATATAAAAAAGGAGACATGTGAAATACGTCTCATAAATATATAAGTATATGAAGATAAACTTATACAATATGTTTCTCCATTTTTGTTTCACTTCTGTAACAAGAAATATTGGAGGTTAAACAGAAAAACTTAAAATATTGTAACTTCTGTTTTTTAGCGCTGGTGTTATAAGTATAGTTTAAGTGTAAAAATCAGTAAAAGTAGCCTAAGTGTACGTGATCAAATCACGTACACTTAGGCTACTTGTACTGATTACTTTTACTTTTACTGTTTATACTTAAATGTCAGAGTTGAATAGTTTCCATTCTTCACATGTACAGAGAGTCTGATGAGGAAACATTCTAAGAAATTGTCAACTTCCAACCAGTGAAGAGTCGAGAAAGAACTGAAATCGCTCGTCTATTGATTGCAGAGAGATGTCCGGTTTGAAAATCGACCCGGTACAATATTCAGCTTGAACTACACAAGTATTTTTGTCCTGAAATCTTGGAAACACTTGCTATAGAATATACTCATTCGCTGTCTTCATCAAGTTAAATTATCGTGACTCATAATGATAATTTTTCTAGTAATATTCTTATTGTCACCTCTTCACTGTTTTGTATTATTTATAAAGATTATACAATTTTTCTGCACTCCAATATTTCATGTTCAGTATTAGCGTCAGTTTAGTTTTATATGTATTAACTTTAAAGTCATTATTATTGTATATACTCTTCCTGATTCTAATCTCCTTGGAATATATTGCTATATTGTTTCTTTTCTGAATACTTAATAACAACAATCTACAGTGGTATCTCATAATTCAAACGTTTTCGAGTTAAAAGACTAAATTCGAAAGAAATCCGATCTATAGGTCGAACTAGCTTCTACTTTCGAACTGCGCGCGCAGTGAAAATATGTGCTAGCAGCTGAAACGCCATCTTTTGAGTGCCCGAAGCTCTTTCACTCTCGGTATACAAGTGCATATTATGTAACGTTCGTGTGTTTTAGGTTTTGTTTTATTTCTTGTGTGTTTGCTTATACCAGAACATGTTAAACCACGGCATCAATGAAGAGTGAGAAAGCCACAATGTCTTAAAAAAAACTTGTATTATTGATGATTGAAGTGAAAAATAACTTATCAAAAAGCATGAAAGCTATACACATGTGACAGATAAATGTCAATATGAAAGATGTCCATGTCTGCTGCGTACACCATTCTTAAGAACAAGGAAGCAATAAAAGCAACAAACTTAGGTAAAGTTGTGGCAAGTTTGACTTTCAGTAGATCGCATGTTATGGAAAAGATATAAAAATTTTTCCCAGTGTGAAAAAAAATGAAAAGCATTTAGCTGGTAATATTATTTTTGATAGGTTTATTTCTAAGCCAACAGCTGTATACTTACCTAAAAAAGTGAGACATCACTACTCCTCACTAAGACACGGTAAATTCAATTTTCATTTTATTATACAAAATTTACTTATTTAATATATTGTTCTCGTGTCTTATTTTATGATTAAAAAAATTAATTTTGTCATTTTTACTTTATATTCTCCGTATTTTTTTCTACGTTTATCGAAATAGATATTATTCAGTGTCAGGAAGGGAGTAATTTATTTTCTGTTATATCTAATAAGAGAAATTGATTCGAAGTTCGAAGAATTCAGAGTTTGGACGGTNATATTCTCCGTATTTTTTTCTACGTTTATCGAAATAGATATTATTCAGTGTCAGGAAGGGAGTAATTTATTTTCTGTTATATCTAATAAGAGAAATTGATTCGAAGTTCGAAGAATTCAGAGTTTGGACGGTCTCGTGGAACGAATTAAATTCAAAGTACGAAGTACCATTGTGCTAAAAACATATAAAATTCTTGTAAATAAGATTCAACTATTATCTAATTCTATAAGAACACAATTTCCTTTCCAGTAAATATTATTAAATTCGATTCACGGTGTCTTTTACATAAATACAGTATATTGATAAACGAATTATTGAAACACCGTGTTCTGTTATTTCCAGTGAAAGTTTTTCATCTTTTAGTTACATTACAAATCGGTTCTATGTATTTAAATAAGAAGTAAAAGGTACAACGTATTAAAATTTAAGCACATTTCGCTTTGTTTATTACCAC